CTGTTAACTCTAATAAAAATAACAAATACAATATTTCATTTCAATAATTAATTACACTTTAATAATTAAAGAAAAATAAATAATAATTTATTTTATTATTACAATGGGCAGAAATTATGAAAAATATAATTTGTTAGAATGACAATAATTAACAATCGTGAATGGAATAAGGCAAATAATATTGGACATAGATCATCCGTTTCATCGTTGCTCCCGTCACGGTATGGCGCCAAAAAATATTTAAATTTAAATGGTTTTTATTTACAACAATTTATTTTATAACATTAACCAATGGAATACTGAGATCTGTTAAAGTTAATATAGTTTTTACACACTATCATTTACGTTTCATAATGATTTTTACTAAAACTATTAAGCTATAGCGCATGTTCGAATATAACCATGTACAAATATAACAATGTATTATTATTTGAAATATAGATCAAATATTAAAAATGATGTTTTATAACAATAAATAATATTTATAAATACTTCTCAATCGCGATAAAAGAAGTACGTTAAAAAAGGTTTAGTTTCCTGGTGCCTGGAGGCCGAGGGAAATATAATTTATATTGAAATTTTAAATATTATTTGTCTAATAAAGAAAACAAAATAAATTAAATATTATTAAAAACATTATACTTTAAATTCTAACTAAAAAATTAATGCTTTAATGACAAAAAAAAAATGAAAAGGGGTATCCAAAGTCTAGAGACTACCTATGCAGACGAAACAAAAAAATATATTTAATAATAATAAAAAAAAATTACTAATACTATTAAATTGATTAATTTAGATTATTAATAATTTAAATTAATATCGAATGCAAAAAATTGATTTAAGTAATGGAAAAATACTATTTACGTAACCGAGAATACTTAATTATTGTAAGTTTAAAAAGGTAATGAATTAAATGTAAAAAAATAAAATAGTAACTAAAAATTATTAAATATATTTATTTAATTTTAATTACAGTTATTATTCAAAAGAAAAACGACGTACCAGTATTCGTGGGAGTAAGTATGTAGGTATGTTTGTCTCTCGTAAGTTCGTTTCACTCTGAATCGACTCCTATATTTCGGCTGCTTATTATCTTATAGAAAATAAGTACAATGTTTTAATAATTAATTTCATTTTGAGAATTAAAGAAAAATAAATCATATATTTTTTTTAATTTTATTAGTATTAATAGATACAATGGGCAGGAATTATAAAAAATATACTTTGTAAGAATGACTATATTTAACAAACGTGAATAGAATAAGATAAATAATATTAGACATGTATAAGTAATATTGGACATAGATTATCTGTCTCATCGTTGCTCCTGTCGCGGTATACCGCCAAAAAATATTATTTAAATTTAAATGTTTTTAATTTACAACAATTTATTTTAAAACGTTAACCGATGGAATACTGAGGTCTGTTAAAGTTATAATTGTTTTTATACACTCTTCATATACAAACTTCATTTAAGTTTCAAAACGATTATGAATAACTTTATTTGCCTTAATACATTGTTATTTTGTTTCATTTTCATTTCCTCCATCAATTTTTAGTTACCTACCTACCTTTATTGCATTATTTACATCAGCTCCAATCTTAACTTAAATTATGGAGCAAATGTAAAAACACAAATGTTATAACCATTCGAAAATATGATTAATATATACACTCTTAATATTAATTGTCTTAATCCGCCACTGATTCGGTCAAAGGTGAGTGAAACCCAAAAATGGGTTTCATGAGGCTCAACGTGTTGTACATGATATTCTGTATTACCAATATTACTTACTAATAAGATAATACAAGTTATTTTAAACTAACTTATTCATAATGTGTATGTAAATGACAGTCTTATGATTGATGTATATATCAGAAGTGAACATTTTATTGTTAGTGTTGAAATGCAAATGTTTGAATGCAAATGTTAAACACAACAGATCAGTAAGGGCTCGAAGAAAAAAAATTTAATATAGATATGGATATTTCTTTCATTTTTCTAGCGTTTTTTTTTTTTAGAATTTTGATTTTTAAACGTTTGCTATTAGATTAATTTAATTACTAGATATTTATAATAGGTCTATGTGTTCAGTATAGACCCGTTCCGCAACCATATAATCTAAAGCCAGTGTCATATTTATTGTGGGGGGGGGGGTGTTGGAGGCTTCCACTCCCCTAGATAATTTCCAAGCCTCAAATTTTTAAATTTCGATGAAATTTGGTAATTTTGTTAATTCGAATAGAGAAAAAATTTTAAAATTTATTAACTGTAAACATTTTAAAATTTATTAACTGTATAAATTTTATAAAAACTAATAAAACCCGGATACGATAATATTTGTGTTTTTAACTGTGCAAGTAGAAACACGTTATACACTTCACAGGCTAATGCCGCCTATTGTTGTAGTTTGTAGTTCGCAGAAAATTGTCTACTTGTGGTGATAGTTGGATGAAGATTTATCATTATAACTAATTCTATTATAACTAATACCATTGATTATAAACAGTGTCGTTAAAAATAAAGTGAAAATATTCAATATCTGGTTAAGCTGTATGTTTTTTTTTAAGATGGCGAATAATTTCCAAGATAATGGTAAGTTTCCTTCCTGATTACGTGCTATTCGATTTCGTATGTAGTGACGTCACAGCATGCGAAAGCTTATCAGTAATGTTTTTCTCTTTATTTTTCGCGAACATACCTAATGATACGGACATGAAATTTTGTTCTGCGCGAAGTAAACCAAAATAATGGTAATGATAAAATATGTAAAAGTCATACTTGCTGATATCTATGCATCATAAACATTTTGATGGTAGTGAACATTATTATTTTAACTTCCTGAACTTCATCCTGTTTATAACATTGACTGTGCTAAAAATTTTAACAATTGGTTAATTTTTTTTTTATCATGATATACAATAACTTAGTCTTAATCAATATTGCATAATGTACAGTTTTGAAGGAGATTTTCGTAGGAAACCAGAACAGAATTATGCAGGAGCTAGTGTTCATGAACCTGTCAGCAATCTAATACTGAGAGCTCGTTATGAACGGGAAAAAAGAGAAGTATTTACTGAAAATAATTTATATATTGCATAAAATGTCTTGTTATAACAATTTCATTGGTTTAACTTAAAGGAAGCTAGACGTGAACAACGACGTGTTGTTCGGGTTCAATCTTGTGTTAGAAGTTTCATTACAAGAAAAAAATTTAAACAACATTATCGAACTGTGTTCGATGAAACTGTAATTAATTTGAAAAATACACAGCCATCTGAAGAAGTTTTATCAAATCTTGTAAAAAATTTAGTGTTTTTTCACGATAGAGAAAATGATTCTCAAAGACTAGTAAGAGTTTCTTAAATTATTTTTGTTAAAGATTTCACTAATATTTATCATAATATTGGTTAGCAACTAGTTTAAGGATTTGGAATGTCATTTTTATGATTTTTATGATTTTTTTCGTAAAGAGTAAGTATTCATACTTATTTTATTTGAATGTATAATATATTCATTTTGTCATTTATAGTTTGTTAATTTAAAATTTATTTTTTTAGACATTTAAAGAAAATTCATTTTTTTCTTAATATTTACAGATATGGTTATCTCAACATATTTTACGTAATAGTACAAAGTTATTAAGATCAAGTTTGGATCGAAACGCCTCATGGTATTGGCATTTAAAATGGATTCTTTCCTTTAATATTGATTTATTGAACTCATCAAATTTGGAATCATTCGCAACACCTTTACGAATTATTGAAGAATTTACTTCAGTAGAATCCTACAAAAAAATACTAGGTTCAGAAAATGCAATACTTGCATTACGAGATGTTAGTATATTTAAACATATTATGTATGCATGTATACTATTCTTATTCATAATTTTTTTTTTTCTTTATGATTGAAAATATAACTAATAAATAACATATTTTTTATAGTTATTCCAATATCTAGTCAAAAAATGTTATTTTGATAGTTTGCATAAAATACTTGATACAAAAATTCCTGCAATGTTTGATGTTGAAGATACACCAGCTCCACCTTTAGCTAAAAGTATCCTAGAATTTGTGAAAAGACCATTTTCAGTACGATCACCAACTTTTTTAGATGAATACACGTAATGTATTAATTTTTTTATTAAATATTTTAGTTTTCTGTTTATTATGATTTTATATTTTAATACATTAAAATTAGAGAATTTTTATACATTTACAAATGTCATCTTTTTATAACTAATATACTCACAATTCAACTAATTATTAATTTTGTGAATGATTTATAATAATTTATATTATATATTATGAATTTGACTTAATATTTCATTTTTATTTTCTTCAGCTCTATAATTATGGATCATTTTGTGAGGACTTTTTTAAAAGGACCAGTATCTGATATTAATCACAAATTTATCTTACCAAAATTATCCTTGGATCAAAATAAAATTGATTATGTTGGTCCAGATTTTAGGCAATTAGTCATGTCATTAGCTCATTCTTCAACCCAGTTTGAAACTAATACAAATTTATTTTATTCTTTGCTGATTCTTGAACCATCATGTGAAGACTATTCATTTGGTAATTAAAAAATTGTTATTTTAATGTTTTAAATTAATAAATAATGTTTAATATACTATTATAGTGGTAAAATGTCATCAAACTGGACGTGAAATGAATGCAATTACTGATTATTTGGATATTCTTTCAACATTAACAAGTCGTCTAGTTGAGCCACCTGTTATAGACTATATAAGCAAGACATGGATGTATAAAGATCTCTGTCAAGATAGTTCAGACAATGAATCTGACGATGAATCAAATGAAAATGAAAAATTATTCTGTGGTATTTCAGAAGATGAACTTGAGGCAATTATTATATTTATTTGACTTAATAAACTAAAGTCTTATATTAAAATACCATTTTATTAGACAGATTTTGAAATTATGTTCAGAGCTCTTAAATGATCCAGTTAGAGTGTATAGAATAATCAAATATGTTGAAGAATCGTGTTCAAAAGATTCTATTAATTTTTTGCTCACTCCAGTTTGCAAATTATGTCATTATTTACTCATGTCTCATAAATTAGCTGTGCATAAATACAGGTAAAAAATTATTATACTTATAAATAAATTAAAAAATATTTTAGGCACTGATTGGTGTAAATTAAGCTTTTTATATATTAATGGTAAAATAATACCTATAATACATACTGAAAGACTAATTATTTGTGCTAATTATACATTTTTTTTAATTTTTTTATTTATTTTATGCATCATTAAAAAAACATATTGATAGTTTAAATATGAACTGTAATTATATGTTAACATTTCTTGTAAATATTATTTATTTAAATAAAATTAATGATTTTAATGATTTATTTTATTTGATTTAAATATTGTACATCAACTTTGAGTTAGTTATATTTGTTGAGTCGTTTTCAAGTAAATATTTATTGATAAATAGAAAAATATTAACATTAAAAATTCTAAAATAAAATGCTTTAGAAAAACAATGCTTACCATTCCACTTATTCTAAATAAATGCAGATAATAATCTTGATAAGTATTCATATAGTAATAAGCTCATAATTTAATGTTAATATATAATATTGGTTGTATTATATGTTGTTTGTATTTTATTTTTAGATTATTGTATACTCTAGCTCTGAATGCAGAAATCTTACACCATTTATGGAAAACTATTTTAAAAACCGAACAACAATCACTGTTTGGTCCTAGCTTAGTTACTACCAGTCTAGTAACAGTAATATCAAGAGGAACAAATTTAGCTCCTGGTGATTTTAACCGTGTAGTTCCATTGTTAGCAACATTTTGTTCTTTATTCAGTTTATTAATATCCACTTTGCATGATGCGGAATTTAATAAAGCTGTTGGAAATAATTCTGGTAAATAATAAATTAAATTTAACTTACAAATTTTAAGAATATTATTTGTAAATTTTTTTTTCAATTTTAGAACAATTCACCAATCATTCATTAAAATTTACAATAGCAGATCTTGTATCAATTACATCTATTTTAAAAGATGTGGCTCTGGGTTTAATAGAATTAGCTTATCCAGATTCAAGACCTTCAATTATGCCTTACAGTAATAACACAAATCAGAATGCTCAAACTTCAATTTGGTCTCATTTATTACGAGTACTAATATTATTGTATACCTATATTATTATCTTTTGATCAAATATAATTAAAATCTTATGAATATTTTAAATATTAGGTGACTGTTGTATTACTAAGACAACTTCATTCAAGAGATCTACGCTGTAAATTTTGTCCTGAAGGACATTGGGTATCAAATCGTTTTACTATGAACTCTGCATACGACAAACCTTCAAATATGCATTTTATGCAATATACTCGAAGATCTAGATTAAATTATAGACCTTTTAGAGGTATTCCTGTTATATCAATGGATAATTTAGGTATATGTTATTAATCTTTTATAATGCTAAACTAATTGTTGCAACAAAATTATTGAAAATAAATGTATAACTAATAAATAAATAACTTGTTTAAGATGAAGGACCTCCTCTAACCACTCGTCAAGTCCGTATTTTAACAGTTTTAAAAGAAATACCGTTTGTCTTGCCTTTTGAAGAACGGGTTATTGTATTTCAAGGGTTGTTATTAAATAACAAAATAGAATATCAAAACGCAGATGCTCATTTTATGGTTGGATCACATATACATATTACTATTCGACGAAATTATTTGTATGAAGATGCATTTGAAAAATTATCTATTGAAAATGGTAAATATTTATTCATTGAATCAATTTTTGTGATAATTATATAAATAACTAAATAAAGAAATGAAGCATAATATAGTTTATTTATATTTGCAATTTAATGAAAATAATGAATACTCAAGGATTTGTGTTTTTATATGTAACTTATATTTTATCTTACATGTACAAGTTTTTATAAGTTGATAAAAATGATTGCCAAAAATTATAAATAGGTTGTTATATTTGTCTAAGACAATTTGGAATGAGAACATTTGGTTTTGAGTACAATATTTTTTTAGTCCCATAAAACTATATTTTTCTTTATTTTGAATATGTTAATGATGTTATGCTTGTAAATGTTTTATGAGTGTTTGTGGATTTAAGTAAATGTAACAATCTGGTTATATTTTTAATGTATAGAAATATTCAAGTTATGTGTGCAACTGAAATCCTGCTCAAAAAAATTATATTTATGAAACTAAAATAACAAATTAATAATATTGTAAAAAATACAATAAAAAATCAGTTAAGCATGATATTTTTAAATTATTAATTATATATTGAATCTTAAAAAATTTGTTATTTGGTAAAAAAAGTGATTATTTAGTTTAATGCTAATGCATTTGTATAATATTATAATTATAATTTGTAGAACCAGAAATAAGACAAACATTACGAGTACATATGAAAAGTGCTGCTGGATTAGATGAAGCCGGTGTGGACGGTGGAGGTTTATTGAGAGAATTTTTATCTGAACTTCTCAAAACAGCGTTTGATCCCAATCGTGGATTTTTTAAAATTACCAATGATAATATGCTATATCCAAATCCTTATGTTCATTTAATTCAACAGAATTTTGCCTCTCATTATTTTTTCATTGGTAGAATGCTTGGAAAAGTTAGTATAATTATATACTTATTATTTTAATTAATATTTATAATTTTTAAATAATTGTTTTAATTTTAGGCACTCTATGAAAATTTATTAGTTGAACTCCCTTTAGCTGAATTTTTTCTATCAAAAATCATTGGACGTCAAACTGAAATAGATGTTCATCATTTAGCTTCATTGGATCCTCTCATGTATAGGAATTTATTATCATTGAAAAATTATGATGGAGATGTTATCGATCTTGGTCTTGATTTCACTATTGTTATTGATGAATTCGGCCAAACACGTGTTGCAGAATTAAAACCTGATGGTGCCAATATTGCAGTAACAAATCAAAATCGAATTGAATATATACATTTAATGGCTGATTATAAACTTAACAAACAAATAAGGAAACAATGTTATTTTTTCAAACAAGTAATTATAATTGTAACACTAATTTTATTAAATCATTAGTAGAATAATTAAATTTTTATACAATTTATTAGGGTTTGGCGAATGTTATTTCCTTAGATTGGTTGCGTATGTTTAGTAATCGTGAAGTACAAGTATTAATATCTGGAGCTGAAGTTCCAGTTGACATAGAAGATTTAAAAAATCATACAAATTATGTTGGAGGATATACACCTGATGACCCAGCAATAAATTTATTTTGGACAGTCGTTAATGATTTTACTGATGAGGAAAAAACTAAACTCCTTAAATTTGTAACTAGTTGTTCACGTCCACCTCTTCTTGGTTTCAAGGTATATTATACAGTTCATTTTTTATTCAAATGAATAAACATTTTATTTTCTAGGAATTATATCCACCATTTTGTATTCAAAAAGTAAGTTCTTCTGATCGCTTACCGACTGCGAGTACTTGTATGAACCTTCTAAAAATGCCAGTGTTCAAAGACTATGAAACACTAAAAACAAAGTTATTATATGCAATACAATCTGGTGCCGGATTTGAACTTAGTTAATATATTTTATGAGGTTGTTTTATTTTTAAATTATTGGTATGTACTTTAAATAAAAATTTCTTAAAATTGAATAAATTAAAAAATATACTTAACTGTATCTATATATTCTTTATTGTATATTAAAAATGTAATTAGTTTTATTGATCATTTCCATGTCAATCATTTACAACAGTGGTGCGCAACCTAATTAGGTTAAAAGCTAATAATTTAACACCAAATGAAAAAGTCATATATTACGTATATTATTTTATATAACTTAATATTTGTATTTTAGATTTTATAAAATTCTTAATTTCATATTTTTATTTTAATGTTTTGGATTAATTAAATTAAAGACATATTAAAATTGCCTAAAATTAATGATTTAATTTATATGAATTTAATTTTTGTATATATAATACACTTAATTAATGATGGTAGGTCGCCTCATTGAAATAAATTGAGGGTCGTGAATCAAAATAGGTTGTGCATTGTTGATCTATATTTTGTATAATTGTCATACTAAGTCAGATTTGATTTTCAAATTAAAACTATTAACTCCACATGCTACGTAACTAAACTACAGCAATATCTTACTCAACCGTATCTCATAAAAAAAAGTGTTTTTAATATTTTTAATATTCATTGAAGAAATATATTAAAGAGAAACAGTTTTTTCATTTAAATGCTCGTTTATATTATACGAAATGTATGAAAATAATATGTAATAAATCTAATGATAACGTAAAATATTTATACTTGTAATAATAATAATAGTATTGTACACTTGTGCAATAACAAATAATAAATAATCTTCATAATAGTATGTTAGTAGATACATTATGATGTGGATATTTGTATATATTTATATGTCTTATAAATTATGTTTTATTTTTTGTCACTTTTAAAAGTTCTAAAACATAACTCTGATTATATAATTATAAAATAATAATATAAAATAAATTTATTAAAAACATTCATTAATGATATTTTCATAGTTCCATAAAAAAAAATGTGTATTCAAAGAGTTTTGTTAAATAGAAGTTCATAATATAAAGCATCTACTTTTTTTAAATATTTAAACCAATCTAATGAACCAAATCAATTTGTTTTAGTTGTTTTGACGTTCCAATAATAATATGTTTTTCGAATATTAACTCTATGGTCAATAAACATTTATATAAATATTTAATATTAGAAAAATGAAATCAATTGTACTTATTTACATTCCTAATTTGTAGAATTTTCTGTATTCTTGTTGGAAATTCATGTACAAAATACCATTAGTGGATGTTCCCTCTTTTGAATACACCCTATCAGTTTAATAATTTCTATAAATCTCATACTTCTGAAAGATATCATTATACAGACGTATAAATGTATAAGGATTTATATGAAAAAATAGAAATAACTATATAGAAAGAGAATTTTAAATTATGTGTTTTGTGAGTTAATAAGTTGTATTTATATGTATTTATTATAATAAGTATCTAAATAAGAAGAGGAATGAATGAAAGTTGTTTGATTTAAGTTATTAAAAAGTATTATTTACATTATAGAGAATATGTTTATACTTTACAATAATTATTAATGGATATAAAAATATAATGTTTATAATATAAAAAAAATATTGTTAAAAATATATAAATATGTATATAATTGAAATTATATCTATGTTTTTGTTCATAAGTTAAATTTTAAGTATTTAAAAAAAAATGTTTCCCAAACATTTTGTAGTTATTTATTTTAGATGAAAATAAAAAAAATTAATTACTTAAAAAACATTTGGAATTGAAAAACTAAATATTGTTATCATTTTTTAATGCAATTCACTAGTCTTATATAAATTCACTAAAAACGTTAAGCTTAAAATGAAATCTGAATCTCTACTATTACTATAAAGATATAACTAAAATATACAAATTGAAAATTTCATTAAACAAACTAACTTGATAACTAGATTAAAATAACGGATTATTAGAAATTTGTTTTTTATATTATGAAGAATACAGACAATTTAAGAAATACATTGACATTTTCTTCATATTTTGTAATTTATTATTTATTTAACTGAAAATTAATATGATGACTACTATCATATTACTTATATTCATAAACTCGATATTTATAACTGGGTTTAGATTTAAATACCCTTTATTATGTACATTAACAAAAAAACATTAAATATTTATTATACAAGAAAAAAAAAATAAAAAATTTAAATTTAAAAATTATCATGATGCAATAAAACTAAACATCATGATAACAAATTATTAAATTATCTTTAGCTAAAATATTATAAGTTAAAATTAAATTATGAACTCATATAATGTACAAAAATTAATTAAATCCAAAAATAGCGAAAAGCTATAAGATTACTTATTAGATTGTGCCTGTTGGATATTTTATTTAAATTAACCATACTTCAAACACTTTTCAAGGTCACATCATATTCGAATGATACTTTCTGGCTAAAAATGATGTAGCTGTGGATGTGCATGTTCCACTCGTAATTCACTTAAATCTAAATAGGTTTTTCGATTACATTTTTCTCTGCAAATGGTTAGGTACCTTTGCTTTAAGAAATAAAGAAAAGTGATCCATAGTTCCATTATTCAAGAATGCTATGAGAATTAAAAAAAATTATATTGAATTTCTATTAATTTATTTACTAACATATATTATGACCACAAATATAAAGAAATGTATTTAGTAAAAATGAAACTACATAATAAACGTAAACAGTTTTTTGGATATAAATCATATCTTCATTAGTGATGCCGAAACGGTGTGCCGTTAAAAAATACAATTTTAATATAAATTTTATTTATTTGCAACAGCTTATTTGAATAATAAAAACATTGACCATGAAAATACTAAAATGTGTTGTTGATTTAATAGTATACATACAAACACACTTAAATTTTCATTAAAAAACGATTTTTAGTTAAGGTACGATTTCCAAGGCGCGACATGTCGTTAGTGTTGCGTGCCGTCAAAACAACAGTTCAGACGAAGGATGTGTGTTAAGATATTCCAATTAATTACTCGATTTAAATTAAGCTGTTCTTTATTGAAATATTCCTCAGTATAAAATATTAATTTAATTTGACATTAATAGACTGGCGTGAAGGTGCGTACTAAAATCGGACTGAAACACATCTGAATATTGGTCTGTTCAGGACTACCTTAATATCCCTATCCTGTGTAAAATATCGTGATTCTTTCAATAGGTTAACAAGCTTGACCCAGACATTGTTTGATTCATGTAATTGCCAAATATTCTATACCTAATACTATATAGTTTTTTTTATTTATTCTTTAATTATTACTGTGCGCCCAGCCCTGGATTATTTATTATTTATTATTTATTTACATTGTTGGTTGGCCTCGTAAATTCTGTATTTCGTAGAACCACTTTTCACGTATGTTATATTCCATCGTGTACTTTGTATTTACGCATTGTTATTTGGAAAGCGCTCATAATCCTTTAGCCATTACTGGTGTCTATTATAAGAGTTATTCTAATATTAATCATGTGATATGTGTTCCCCCATACAATGATACTTGTAAAGACCTACATCTATGTATGTTAGTAACATTAGTAACTATTTGCACGGAAATCATTTGGACTGGTTTGCAACGCGCGACAAACCACAGCAACTGAACTTTGGGTCACTGCGACCAACGACAATATTGCGCGACATTCCACAGCTACCGTTGTAAATTTTTAACATAATGGCTTCCACTTTAGTTTTTTTCTGCGACCGAAGACGAAATTCTTTTACAAGTGGTACAAAATACTTCGGTTCTTTATAATATTGGAGCTTCGAATAAAAAAAATATAATAAAATCCTTCACTTTCCCGATATTGTCAACCCGAAACCCGAATATTCCCGAAGAATGAAGAATATTAAGAATAAAAATAATATAAAATAATATTAAAAATATTTTTATTAATGAAGAATAATAATTTATTATTATTATAAATATAACTATTCATTGTAAAATTTAATTCAAAAGACGTTCGTACTCCGACAAGTTTGAAAATAAACGAAAATCGTATATTAACTATGAACGCTGATTGAAAAACAGTTGTGCCGCTGCGACATGTCGCGTCTTGGAATCCATTCTATACGAAATAGGTCGCGCCTTGGAAACTGTACCTATACAAAACCATTTGTCTATAAACTGCGAGTGTATAAATATTTAAATAACAATATTTGTATTTGTAACATGGATTTACTATTTCTTATCCAACATTTGTTGTTAACCCTGATACTTCCTGTAATTATACATTGGCAAGTTATTGCACATTATGTTGCCGTTGTCTTCATTTTAAGGGGTTATTTTTTTATTTTTTATTTTTATATATACTTAGCGTAATCCTGCCACGTCGATGGATGTGCTTTTTTTACACCAGAACACTGTATGTGCACTAGCGTGGTGAAGGTATAATTTTGGCATATTGTTCCTTCAAAATTTAGTGGTAAATGAGCGGGTTTTCCATACTGGGTTTAATAATAATGTATTCAATATTGTAACATAAAAGATTACACCATCATAATATATAAATTAACTAATTAAGTATATATGAATTACAAATAAAGGCATCATGTTTTGTAAATATTAAATTTTATGTTTTTGTGTGTTTTATATTGAGTCGTCAGTGGGGATTGGAATGTACTTTACACCAAGGAATCCAACCGAAAAAAAAACCGGTTTTGGACCGAAACCGTTTATAGTATTCGAACTGAATCCTTAACGAGAATCCATAAAAACGTTTATGAAGCAATCAAAACTAAAATCTTAATTTAAAGTCTTGTAATAACTAGTGACTAATAACAAAGTAAAAAAAAAAAAAATGTCTAATAAAATTATATATTACTGTAAATATAGTATGCATTTCAGGGTTATTCAACATAAAAATGAAATTATTTTCTTTTAGTTAATTACATTGTACATAATTTTATACTCCAACGTTCGGTGAGATTTCAACTGCAGTAATAACCTAAATAGTTATTGGTATTCTAATGAATTTCTAAATTTTATACACTTCCTAGAGTAGTTATAATGTATATA